TCATATTCTCAGTTCGCTCAAAGATTCCTCTGCTGCGGCTGGCTGAACATGCGCGTGCGCGCATGTTCTCAGTTCGCTCAAAGATTCCTCTGCTGCGGCTGGCTGAGCATGCGCGTGCGCGCATGCTCTCAGTTCGCTCAAAGATTCCTCTGCTGCGGCTGGCTGAACATGCGCGTGCGCGCATGTTCTCAGTTCGCTCAAAGATTCCTCTGCTGCGGCTGGCTGAGCATGCGCGTGCGCGCATGCTCTCAGTTCGCTCAAAGATTCCTCTGCTGCGGCTGGCTGAACATGCGCGTGCGCGCATGTTCTCAGTTCGCTCAAAGATTCCTCTGCTACAGCGGCTGGCTGAACATGCGCATGTTCTCAGCTCGCTCATGCTCTCAGGCCCGCGCAGTACGTCCTGCTATCCCAATCGCAAGCCCGCTTTTTGGGGATCATGCACGCGAGCAAGCGCCGTGCTCAACAGCATCCCGCCCGGGCCTAGGGCGCCAAACATGCTCAATCAATAAACATGCTTAAATCTAATAAGTCTAATGCGTTTTCCTCATGGGTCTCTCCAAGGTGAAATGGAGCTTTCGCGAAAGTTCACCGTGGTAGACCCGGCTGTTGCTGCCAGGCCACAGGCTGCTATTCCTCGACTCATCAATACCAGCAACGCCCACACCCAGTCAACCAATAACCACCAGGACAGCAAGTTAAAAGCCGGAGACGCCCACTTCCCGATCTTCTGAAGTCTGCAAGCCGCCGCCGCCCCACCTCCTCCTTCTCGCATGAAGCGTGTTGCCTACTGCCTCTGCCGTCACCAGTGCCTAGGCCCCGGGGGGATCATGCACGCGAGCAAGCGCCGTGCTCAACAGCATCCCGCCCGGGCCTAGGGCGCCAAACATGCTCAATCAATAAACATGCTTAAATCTAATAAGTCTAATGCGTTTTCCTCATGGGTCTCTCCAAGGTGAAATGGGAGCGGGGTCGCCAGTACAGGAGGCGCATGCCAGAACTATTGGACATATTTTTAGTGGTAGGGGAAACCGGAGTACCCGGAGGAAACCTACGCAGACACGGGGAGAACATGCAAACTCCACTCAGAAAGGCCCTGGTCCGACCGGGATTCGAACCCAGGACCTTCTTGCTGAGAGGCGAGAGTGCTATCCACTCAGCCACCGTGCCGCCCATTTGTTTATTTACTTTATTTTTGTTTTTTATTTTTTCCCAGGATAGAGGATAAAATCCACTGATATTGATTTGATGATTATGAGTTTAATGCATACATTTTCTTTGTTTTTAATAATTTTTTGAAGTTTTTTTTGGAATTTTTTTTTTTCTTTTTCCATTTTATTGATTGATCGATTTGAGTGATCACATGTGATTATGTGATCAAAGGGGAGGGTGTTAGTATTAGATAGCAATATGGCCTACGTGCAGGACTCTACAAGGACTCTACAAGGACTCCATGTTATGACTATGATGTGACTGTCTCTTTGTGACACGTATGTCTTTCGATGTGTGACGTGACAATGACTATATAAACTGTGTACTGCCTTTATTCTGTCTGAGAGAAAGAAACAGAGTAAAACAGTGGAACTTGAGAGAAACTTAAATAAACTTCCAGAGTTTGGCACACCACGATCCGTCTCTGTCTGCTAAATCCTAACAATGCAACAAAGTTGACTCTGTCCACTATCATTGTTCCTTCTTTTACTTTACACTTGTGCACATCTCTAGGTTCTCGTGCCACCTGAGCTCGAGGAGCCTTGCTTGTTGAAATCATATCATTATCCACTCCATCTACTGACTTTTCTTTAGTTTGTATCTGCACTTTTTTCAGGGCTTCAGCATAGGACACTTTATTAACCACCTTCACTTTTTGAACTTCTCTAGCTTGCTTTTGCACTTTACACCCAGCAAACGCAGCACTATGATTCCCTCCACAGTTGCAGAATTTCACTGGGGCATCTTTCTCACAATTGCCATAGCTGTGGTTTCCACCACACCGTGCGCACCTTTCTTTCCCTTTACATTGACTGACAGTATGGCCCATTCTCTGGCACTTGAAACATCTCAGTGCAGGAGGGATGTATTCCCTAACCGGGTAACAAAAGAATCCAAGCATTACCTTATCCGGGAGGCATTCTTCAAATACTATCACAATTGACAAGGTTTCAACCGTTGCGCCGTCCACTTTGCGTGTAATACGCTTTGCGCCCTTAATCTTTCCTCCAGTCATTTCCTTCTTGATTTCATCCAGTGATACTGAGAGGGGAACACCCGAAATCACACCTCTACTGCCAGCATTCATGCCTGGAATGTGAGTCTTCACATTTTTTCCATCAATGGTCTTAACTCGAATCAATTTACCTTGTTGTTCTCGACTAGACATACAAACCAAAATGCGTTTATTGTTCAAGTATTTTGCAAACTTTACCCAATTACAGCTTCTAGAGCTTTTGCAATTTTCAGCAAATGGAAGGACTCACTGAACTCTACAATCACTTTCCATTCATGATTATCCCTATCATTAGCGGTGGTGGGGCGAGCTCTCTTCACCGTGTCATCCGATTCCGCACTAGAACTAGATCCATCATTTATATTTTTCTTTTTCTTTTTCCTTTTATACCCTGGGCTCTCCCAATTCATTCCCCCTGAATAATCCCAATCATCATCCTCATTGTCCAAAGGCATGATATTGACTCAGAAATCAGTATCTGTCAGAATCAAAAAGCCCGCGCCGCCAACTCAGCCTCTCGCCAACGTGGAACCGTCTCGCGAGATCCTCGGTCTTCCCCTCTTAGACAGGGGACAACCGGAACTGAATCCTGTAGGGGTCACAAGAGCGAGTGCGCGTGTCACTCCCGTATTCGTCCCGGAAACCGGATTCGTCCGGAAGTTCAGTTTGATCACTAACTTGATCACTGAAGAAGTTTATAGATTCTACAAAGATTTATACACCTGTACTGACGCAGTCAGAGACTCTGTACTTTTAGAAAGCATAAAACGCCACATACCATCCATTTCTTCAGACTTTAAAAACTTGTGTGACTCAGATGTTGAGATGTTTGAACTTGATATTGCAGTCAAACAATTGTCCCTACGGAAGTCTCCAGGTCAAGATGGCCTTTCATCAGATTTTTATAAGCATTTTTGGGGGGACATAAAGACTTATTGTTTTTTGCCCTACAGGAATGTGTCAAAAATAGAACATTAATGACCACGATGAAACAAGGTCTCATATCACTCATTCCAAAAAGCGGGAAAGACAAGAAATATCTAGATAATCTACGTCCAATAACACTATTCAATGTAGATTGTTAGCTGTTATTGTTAGCTCATGTTATTGCAAATAGGATTAAAGATGGAATCTCTCAAATAATAAGTGAAACTCAATCAGGTTTTCTTAAAGATCGTTCCATCCACAACAGCATTAGACTGGTGCTTGACCTACTGGACTATAGAGACAAAATCAACGATGATGGTTTTATTTTATTTTTGGATTTTAAAAAGGCTTTTGACTGTGTAGACCACTCCTTTATGTTAGACACACTACGCTACTTTGGTTTTGGAGATGCCTTTTGTGGACTCATCCAGATGCTGTATAGTGACATTAATAGTTCTGTTCTACTCCCTTTTGGCTCGTGCAGACATTTTGATATCCAAAAAAGAATTCGTCAGGGTTACCCGTCATCCCCACTTTTATTTATTTTAGTTGCAGAAATGTTAAGTATTATGATCAAAACATGTGAGAACCTAAAAAATTAGATGTTGCAGGTCTCCCACTTGCTATAAGTCAGCTTGCCGACGACACCACATTGTTCCTGAAAAATGCGGCACAAATACCAATTGCTCTCCAAGTTATTTCTGAGCGAATTGTCAATCTTTAGGGACTCTTTGAGGCTGTGTAACTCAAAGAATGCAACTGACCCTTGTAACTCCGTAATAAAGCTTTCTATGTTCTTGTTCTGTTCTTTTGGTTGTTTTTATGACGCAAAACTGAAATTGTACTAAATATGTAAGCCTGTTTGATTTGTTCAATTAAAAAAAATTAAATAAATAAATAAAAATAAAAAATAAAAATAATAGTTCAGTTTGATCCAATGAGCATACGCAGCAGTAGATTACGTCACGGAATCTGGACGGGAGCCGAAGTAACCCTAACCCTAACCCTAACCGGTAGTATAAAAAACTACCTATTCATGCCTAAACTTCACCAGCCATTCCCATAAAATAACCCCAACCCAGCCTTAACCCTAAACTTAACCATCTTACTTAGACACCTAAACTTAACCAGTCACCCTTACGGACTTATTACACTTTTTGACATGCGCAAACTGAACTTCCGGACGAATCCGGTTTCCGGGACGAATACGGGAGTGACACGCGTGGCAACCATACTGTATTATATTATATGGCAACAGATCTGTGTAGATCCAGAGCAGTAGATCCAGGCTGTAGATCCAGGACTGAGGCTATAGAACCTGGACTGAGGCTCCAGACAAAATGACGCACTGGAAGAACAAGTTGTATTTTTTATTTTACAAGTTTGTTGTAATAATAATTGTATTATTTTCTGTAATGTATTTTACTTTATTGAAATAAAGATAGAAATATAGAAAATTGTGCTGTACTTAATATCATCTTCTGCTGTGTCATCGTTCTACTGCTCTGTGACGCAACACTGACAGACCGTAGACTGTGATAGACAAATTAATAATTATTTGTCTATATTATTTTATTGACATAATTGTCTGTGAGATAAATACAGGATATCTTCTTCATGTTCACTGTTTTTTCAAGTTTAAACGTATTATTATTATTATTATAACTTTTATTATTATCATCATGTGAAGTGAAACCAAAACAGCCTGACGTTTGCCGTCCTCTTTCCACACAGCGCCCCCTGGCTCCCGCCTCAGTTGCAACAATGATTGCTTCACAAACAAATGCCTCATTTGAACTGATTTTAAGTGAATTTTAACTATTTTTATGTCCGGACCAAGCAGAGCAACATGAACCCGAGTCCTCCCGCGGCTTTGTGAGGTATAACCCCGGGGGAACGGTCTGAAAGAGGAGCTTTATCCCCGGAGCTAACGGCTACATGCTAGCGGAGCTAACCGCGGCTAACGGGAAGCTCAGGTCTGTCTCCAAACAATGCACCGTTCATGATAATAATTAATCTGTAATCAATTTTATACTTGCCTTTAATATTTACGAAGACACACATTGGGTTTATTCGTACTAGAAGTGCGTCTACGGGCTGGCTTTGAAGGATTTAAGTCTTAAATAACTTTACTTAAATAACAACAGCGATATTACCATTATCGTATTGATTGCCGCTGTTTATGCAGACACAGCTTTGCAGCAGCTGTAGGAGGTCTGGAGGCTGTCACTGATGCAATAGGGGGAGGACATCTCAATCATGTGGCAGTTATCATCATAATATTGTAATTTACCATCACACACGTGTTATTTTGTATGCTTGATGAAGTTCATAGACCAGATGCGTCATGTCCAGTTTTCCGTGGTCCCTGAGGATCCAGAGCTGATTAATAGTGTTTTAAACTTTAACTCATAGGTTCCGTCACCGTAGCAACGCAAAGCCGGCCACCAAAGCAACATACAACCCGTCACTGAGCACAAACTTACAGTTAATAGCATAATGTCACTTTTAAAGCTCTAATAAAGAGCAGGATGTGGAGTTAAGCACGATCTACATTTACTGTTTTGTAAAATTCATAATCACAATCTTTTTTAACTATTATTTTGTTTTGTTTATTTGTTACCATATGCAAAACTAAAGTATTGCACAGTGCTGAGGCAGTATATTGCACCTTGAGGCTGTTGTATTTCCAGGTCATGTCTTATAAAATCCCCAAACGCACTCGCTCTGACTCGGACTCTCCGCAGATGAAGTCTCCTCTGTCCAGACTGAACACACAGAACCAGGTGACCACATCACTTGGTGATAAAACTAGGGACTGTAATTTTAGTCACATAAATAATACATGTTTATTGTTTGGTCTGTAACTTTAGTCTCATAGATAACACGTTTAAAGCTGGGATCTGTAACTTTAGTCTCATAAAGAACATAGTTTGTGCAACAGAATGAATCTTGAAGTAAAATGTGTCTCTGTCTCTGTGTCCTCAGAGTCCCCCTCTGGTCAGACGTCCTGGAGATGGACACAGTTCCTTCAGGTCAGATCTTTTTGATGATGTTTCTGATTCCACCTGATTTTCACTTGATGCATTTACTTTTTCTCAGAGGAAAAACCAGAACAGAGGCTTTCACCAACGGGTGAGTGCTGCTCCTTCTAGAAGAGAACTCATACATATAGATATAGATCTCTGCTGGTACTTGTGGACTGGCACAAATGTTGTGTAATCTGATATAATTCAGCCCCAGTCCTCATGTCCCTGTGTCTCCCGTAGGTGGCGCCCTAAACGTGCCTCAGATCGCCTGCTCTCTGCTGCTCCTGGTCCTGATGTAGAACATGAGTCCTGTTTGGATTCTCCTCCAGACACAGAGTCGGGTCTGTTCATTAGCATACTCTCATTAGCATACTCACATTAACATACTTCCATTAGCATACTCTCATTAGCAAAGGCTCATGAGCATAGGCTCATCTCTAACTAGCTCCATTAGTGCCTGTGCTGTGTTTGCCTGTGACCTGCAGGTGGCACCCTTGTCACTGTAAGTAAGTTAGTAAGTTTTTTTATTTATATACCGCCTTTTCAATGCAGATCTGAGTCTCAAAGCGGTTTACAATTGTTAATTTTGGGCATTTGTCTCTCACTCCACACAGAGATGGGAGCGGGGTCAGTACAGGAGGCACATGCCAGAACTATTGGACATATTTTTAGTGGTAGGGGAAACCGGAGTACCCGGAGGAAACCTACGCAGACACGGGGAGAACATGCAAACTCCACTCAGAAAGGCCCTGGTCCGACCGGGATTCGAACCCAGGACCTTCTTGCTGAGAGGCGAGAGTGCTATCCACTCAGCCACCGTGCCGCTGCAGAGCAGCTGTACATCCTATGTGTGAGAAAGAAGATCCAGAAACAGACTTTATAGAGAGAGGTCTCGGTATACATCACAGAGAGGTCTCAGAATACATCACAGAGGAGAGAGGTCTCAGTATACATCACAGAGGAGAGAGGTCTCAGTATACATCACAGAGAGGTCTCAGTATACATCACAGAGAGGTCTCGGTATACATCACAGAGAGGTCTCAGTATACATCACAGAGAGGTCTCAGTATACATCACAGAGAGGTCTCAGTATACATCACAGAGAGGTCTCAGTATACATCACAGAGAGGTCTCAGTATACATCACAGAGAGGTCTCAGTATACATCACAGAGGAGAGAGGTCTCAGTATACATCACAGAGGAGAGAGGTCTCAGTATACGTCACAGAGAAGTCCCGGTATACATCACAGAGGGGCCAGGTCTCAGTATACATCACAGAGGGTTAGAGGTCTCAGTATACATCATAGGGGGTTAGAGGTCTCAGTATACATCACAGAGGGTTAGAGGTCTCAGTATACATCACAGAGGGTTAGAGGTCTCAGTATACATCACAGAGAGGTCTCAGTATACATCACAGAGGGTTAGAGGTCTCAGTATACATCACAGAGAAGTTCCGGTATACATCACAGAGGGGTGAGGTCTCGGTATACATCACAGAGAGGTCTCAGTATACATCACAGAGGAGAGAGGTCTCAGTATACGTCACAGAGGACAGAGGCCTGTATGAAATTTTCTTTTGTGATTTTTGTTTTTGTTTCTTTTGTTGTTTTGTTCTGCCCTCGGATTGGCCTTGTGTATGAACTGTGCTAAACAAATAAACTCTCTCCTCAGACTCTACTGTAATCGCGGTGCGCTCTCAAGACGCTCTCTTCCGCCTCAGAGCAGAACGGCATCTTGGGAGTTGCCCTGACAGGAAGTGCCCCCAGAAACCACCTAACAAGGACACGGTCAGTCACAGTCAAGCCCCAGTGATCCAAGATGGCGCCCTATTCAAATGAATGGCTTGTGCTCTGTAGCGCATAGGACTTCACAGAGACCAAAAGATTAGCGGAACTCGCCTGTATTTGGGCATCGTCTAGTCCTCCCAGTTCTGCGCAGTGGACGAGCTCCCATTATGCGTTGCGCCAAATACGCGTGTGTGGCTCTCATGCACGTGCACAGAGGGGCTCGGCCGTGCTCTGACCAATCAGAGCTGCTGATCAGAACAGCAGTAGAGCGGAGTCAGAGCAGGAAGGAAACGAGCAGAGTTTGTGGCACTAAAGTGTGGATATAAAGAAAACCGAAAGATTTAAGAAGAAAAAAAGTTCAGGACGATAAGGGACACTAAAATCCCCACAAAATCTGATCTTTATGAAAGCTGTAGGTTCTCTGTGAGCTGAGTTTACATTGAGTTCTATGGGACTTTTTTCGGGGTAGCCCACGTGAATTTAGTCTGCAGTACAGCGCCCCCTGTGTCCATGGGTGGGACAGCTATAAGCTAGTAATACCCTATCCAGTTATTATTATAGATCCATGGTCACAGTGCACCCCGACCCGTAAACCCCCTCTTTTTAGGCTGCATTTAACCACGGCAACCGGATCCTACTGTGACAGGGTCCTGCATCTAAGAGCGAGTCCATGTCTTTTGAGCATGTCCTCACTAGGGGTGGGAACCTAAGGGTACCTCACGATACGATACGCGATACAAAGCTCACGATAACGATTATGTCACGATAACAGCAATATACCATATGCCAATATATGGCATACATAAAATACAATTTATTTCATGATAAATGGAATGGAGATGTGTAATGTAGCCATATATTAAGTATTGATACTAATAAAAAATAAATAAAAAAAATATTATTAATTTTTTCTTTCAAAATTGATACTTGGCAAATGCATATCAATAATCGATCGCGGGAGAAAGTATCGCAATATATCGAAAAATCGATATATGTCACATTCCTGGTCCTCACTGTGTGTTTGTTCCAGAGCGTCTTGTCTTGGTCCAAACTGTCCTCGGCCTCTTCTCCTCTGGACTCAAACGTAAGTCTCCCCCAGGACGATACTGTTTACTGTACATATACGGTTTTTATGATGTTAATAACATTGTGTTAATTAGATGGTGTTGATAATGTGATGTTAATAATATTATGTTAACAACATTGTGTTAATAATATGATGTTAATAACATTGTGTTAATAATATGATGTTAATAACATGGTGTTAATCTGGTGTGGTCCTCAGGGCGTCTGGTCTGAACTCAGCGATGTGAGGGAAAAGCAGAGGGACAAGTGGAGGCAGTTTAAAGAGAAGAAACAGCTCAGAACATACGCCTCAAGGAGGAACAGAGACCAGGCCAGACCGGACCAGGCCAGACCGGACCAGGCCAGACCGGACCAGGCCAGACCAGACCAAGCCAGACCGGACCAGGCCAGACCAGACCAGACACAAGGCCAGTCCAGGAGCTACAAGAGGACCACAGCCAACTCTGAACCCAGTGAGTAACCAGGTCTGAACCAGGTCTGAACCAGGTCTGAACCAGGTCTAAAACGGCTGAGTTTGTGACATGCTTCCACAGTCGTTCTGTCGAGTGAAGAGGAGGAAGACGAGCAGAGTGACGGCCAATCAGAGCAAGTTCCTCTGCCCTTCCTGCAGCTGGACTTCTGCTCCTTCCACATGGGTCTGTCCAGAGCTGAGGCCAACGGCAAAGTCACCGTGAGTGACCAGGACTTCAGAGACCTGAAACCAGGACTACAGAGACCGGAGAACTACAGAGACCTGAGACCAGGACTACAGAGACCTGAGAATTACAGTGGCCTGAGACTAGGACTACAGAGACTTGAGAACTACAGAGACCTGAGACCAGGACTAAAGAGAACCTATACCAGGACTACAAAGACCGGAGACCAGGACTACAGAGGCCGGAGACCAGGACTACAGAGGCCTGAGACCAGGACTACAGAGGCCTGAGACCAGGACTACAGAGGCCTGAGACCAGGACTAGAGCCCTGCACTTGAGCCCTTGGCCCGAGGGCCCCGACGGCCCGACAGCCCGAGGGCCGGGCTCGGACACGGGCCGGGCTCGGGCTCTTCATTTTCAGAGCGGCAGAATAGATTTACGAGCGCACCCACTGAATATAGCGTTCTATCACGCTGTAGTGTTTGTTGTTCTGTGTAGTGTTGTCATTGACGGCACATAGCATTACTTATGTAATGTGCAGATGTGTTGCAGCATCGGGGGCATCATACAGATGCGGCCGTTCACTCTGCACCACTCCGCACACACAGAACTCATTGCAACACATCACTACCATGTATAACTCCGCCCTCTAGCTAAGTCTGCGTTCATATCAGTGCGCGGCACTATATACTACGCTAAAACATTGTTATGGGAGGTTACAAAAAAAAAAAAAGGCGGGCTTGATGCGGGTTTTGGGCCTGAAAATTCAGAAACCATATCGGGCCGGGCCGGGCTGGGGCGCCACCCCCTCGGGCCAGGGCGCCACCCCCTCGGGCCAGGGCCGGGCTCGGGCCCAGATAATAGGCCCGTGCAGGGCTCTAACCAGGACTACAGAGGCCTGAGACCAGGACTACAGAGGCCTGAGACCGACTTGGCTTGGATGCAGACACCACAGTGTGGTTCAGCTGTTTTCATGTTCTCTGAATCCAACAGGACTTTTCCATGTTTTCCCCCTGGACCTGGACCAAGACCAGACCTGGGTCTGGTCCAAGTCTGGATCCAGACCAGGGCTGTAATGGCTCACACATGTTTCCACTTTGACATGTGTTTATTTTAGAGAAAAGCCAAAAGCAGTGTGAGAAAACGTGAGCTGAGAGCAGGACCAAAACAGGACAAAAGCAGGTCTGAAGCAGCACTAAAGCAGGACTAAAGCAGGACTAAAGCAGGACTAAAGCAGGACTAAAGCAGGACTAAAGCAGGACTAAAGCAGGACTAAAGCAGGACTAAAGCAGGACTAAAGCAGGACTAAAGCTCGTCTAAAGCAGGACTAAAAGTGGGTCTCAAGCAGGTCTAAAGCAGGACTAAAGCAGGTCTAAAGCAGGACTAAAGCAGGTCTAAAGCAGGACTAAAGCAGGACTAAAGCAGGTCTAAAGCAGGTCTAAAGCAGGACTAAAGCAGGTCTAAAGCAGGTCTAAAGGAGGACTAAAGCAGGTCTAAAGCAGAACTAAAGCAGTTCTAAAGCAGGACTAACGCCGGTTTTAAATAGGACTAAAACTGGGGCTGCAGCTGGACAACAAGCTGGGCTGGGCAGCCAACATGGACGCTGTGTACAAGAAGGGGCAGAGTAGGATGTACTTTTTGAGGCGATTGGAATCTTTCAGGGTCTGTGATAAGCTTCTCTACATGTTTTATCAGTCTGTTGTGTCTAGTGTCCTTTTCTATGCAGTTGTTTGTTGGGGGGGCAGTGCACGAAAGAGGGACACTGAGAGGCTGAACCGGCTCATTAGAAAGGCGGGCTCTGTGGTGGCTCTGGGTCGGGATTCAGTGGAGGAGGTGGTAGAGCAAAGAACGCTCTCCAAGATCAGGGTGATCTTGTCCAACCAGAGCCACCCACTAAATTAATTTTTTTCCCGCCAGAGAAGCATTATGAGCTCCAGACTCCTCTCTCTGAGGTGCTCCAGGGACAGACTAAAAAACTCTTTTGTCCCCAACGCCATCAGGCTCTATAACAAAGCCACTTCAGGGAGGAGCAGCTCCTTCGGGATCAATAAAGTATATACAGTGCCTTGTGAAAGTATTCGGCCCCCTTGAACCTTTCAACATTTTGCCACATTTCAGGCTTCAAACATAAAGATATAAAAATTTAATTTCTTGTCATGAATCAACAACAAGTGGGACACAATCGAGAAGTGGAATGAAATTTATTGGATAATTTAAACTTTTTTAACAAATAAAAAACTGAAAAGTGGCGCGTGCAATATTATTCGGCCCCCGCCTTGCGCTAATACTTTGTAGCACCACCTTTTGCTGCAATTACAGCTGCAAGTCGCTTGGGGTATGTCTCTATCAGTTTTGCACATCCAGAGACTGGAATTCTTGCCCATTCTTCCTCGCAAAACAGCTGGAGCACAGTGAGGTTGGATGGAGAGCGTTTGTGAACAGCAGTCTTCAGCTCTTTCCACAGATTCTCGATTGGATTCAGGTCTGGACTTTGACTTGGCCATTCTAACACCTGGATACGTCTATTTGTGAACCATTCCATTGTAGATTTGGCTTTATGTTTTGGATCATTGTCCTGTTGGAAGATAAATCTCCGTCCCAGTCTCAGGTCTTTTGCAGACTCCAACAGGTTTTCTTCCAGAATGGTCCTGTATTTGGCTCCATCCATCTTCCCATCAATTTTAGCCATCTTCCCTGTCCCTGCTGAAGAAAAGCAGGCCCAAAGCATGATGCTGCCACCACCATGTTTGACAGTGGGGATGGTGTGTTCAGGGTGATGAGCTGTGTTGCTTTTACGCCAAACATATCGTTTTGCATTGTGGCCAAAAAGTTCGATTTTGGTTTCATCTGACCAGAGCACCTTCTTCCACATGTTTGGTGTGTCTCCCAGGTGGCTTGTGGCAAACTTTAAACAAGACTTTTTATGGATATCTTTGAGAAATGGCTTTCTTCTTGCCACTCTTCCATAAAGGCCAGATTTGTGCAGTGCACGACTGATTGTTGTCCTATGGACAGACTCTCCCACCTCAGCTGTAGTTATCTGCAGTTCATCCAGAGTGATCATGGGCCTCTTGGTTGCATCTCTGATCAGTCTTCTCCTTGTTTGAGATGAAAGTTTGGAGGGACGGCCGGGTCTTGGTAGATTTGCAGTGGTCTGATGCTCCTTCCATTTCAATATAATTGCTTGTACAGTGCTCCTTGAGATGTTTAAAGCTTGGGAAATCTTTTTGTATCCAAATCAGGCTTTAAACTTCTTCACAACAGTATCTCGGACCTGCCTGGTGTGTTCCTTTGTCTTCATGGTTCTCTCTGCGCTTTAAACAGAACCCTGAGACTATCAAAGAGCAGGTGCATTTATACGGAGACTTGATTACACACAGGTGCATTCTATTTATCATCATCAGTCATTTAGGACAACATTGGATCATTCAAAGATCCTCACTGAACTTCTGGAGTGAGTTTGCTGCACTGAAAGTAAAGGGGCCGAATAATATTGCACGCCCCACTTTTCAGTTTATTATTTGTTAAAAAAGTTTAAATTATCCAATAAATTTCGTTCCACTTCACGTTTGTGTCCCACTTGTTGTTGATTCAAGACAAAAAATGAAAATGGTATATCTTTATGTTTGAAGCCTGAAATGTGGCGAAAAGTTAAAAGGTTCAAGGGGGCCGAATACTTTCGCAAGGCACTGTATCTATCTATCTAAAAGCACGACCAAAATAGGACCAAAATAGGTCTCTGTTTGTGTTTACAGACATTATAGCTCTTTGGAGAGCTATAATTATATTATAGCACATTTTGGAGATGATCATGTGCATACAATTAAAGTGGATTGTCCTCATGTCACTCTTCTTTGTGTTTCAGATCTCTGAGAGCGGCATCACAGTCCCCCTCACAGGTAACACTGCAGTCTCCGCTCAGACCCCACAAGTGAGCGATCAGCAGCCCTGTAACTCTCTATCTCTCTCTTGTCTCTCTCTGGTCTCTCTCTCTGGTCACTCTCTGGTATCTCTCTGGTCTCTCTCTGGTCTAGGTCCTGGTCCAGACTCTGGTTCCGTGGAGCTCAGTATAGTGGCCTCTCAGATGCGTTCCTTTGGACTGTGGGATGGGGGCGTGGCCAGAGGCGGCGCTCTGTTCTCTGATAACTCGGGCCCCGCTCCCTCACTGCTTTTCCTGTGGATCAGCGACGTCCAATCACAGCTGCTGAAGAAGGAGCTGCACGAGATCCACCAGAGCACAGGTAAGGACTAAAGCAGGACTAAAGCAGGTCTAAAGCAGGACTAAAGCAGGTCTCTCTTTCAGATCCCCTGTGTCCCCTTGTTCTCCTGGTTCTTCAGTCCCAGCTCTCAGACTTGGACTCGGCTTTGGTTTCTTCTATTCTAGATTCTGGAGACTATCTTAAGTCCAGATCTGGGTCTGGACCTGTGGACTGGACTCAGGGTCTGGTCCTGATTCACACTTGTCCCGCTCCCGTGGACTCACACCTGCTGCAGCTGCTGGGGCCAATGGTGAGAACATGTTGATCAAGTCTGTGAACTGGTCTCTCCTGGTCTCTCCTATTCTCTCTTTGGTCTCACCTGGTCTCTCTCTCCAGTCATTCTGGTTCGTCTGGACTCGCCTGGTCTCTCTCTGATCTTTCTCTGGAGAATCCTAGTCTCTCTGGTCTCTCTCTTGGTCTAATGTGGACTGTGTGTGTTTCAGAGTGCGTCAGATCCCCCGCCACGGAGTCCTGCTCTCAGGACCAGGACCAGGTCTGGATCTCAGAAGCTCCCTTCCAGGTACACTCCAGGTCCAGTTCAGGTTTAGTCCCGTCTCAGACCAGGTCTCAGTCTCAGATCCGGTCTCAGATCCGGCCTCAGATCCGGCCTCAGATCCGGCCTCAGATCCGGCCTCAGATCCGGCCTCAGACCCGGCCTCAGACCTGGTCTCCTTGTGTCCAGGCTGATCCAGTACCCTGCAGCGCCCTCTAGAGGCCGTATCTCTGTGAGCTCTGAGGATCTGCTCTGTCTGAAGCACGGAGAGTTCCTCAATGATGTCATCATCGACTTCTACCTCAAGTAAGTACTGACACTAGCAGTACTACTACTGCTACTGATACTACTGATACTAGCAGTACTACTACAACTGCTAGTACTGCTGCTACTACTGATACAACTACTAGTGCTGCTACTCTCTCTCTCACTCTCCCCCTCTGCTATAGTACCTGTGCTCACCTCTCTCTCCCCCTCTGCTATAGTACCTGTGCTCACTTCTCTCTACCCCTCTGCTACAGTACCTGTGCTCACATCTCTCTCCCCCTCTGCTACAGTACCTGTGCTCCCCTCTCGCTCTCCCCCTCTGCTACTGTACCTGTGCTCACCTCTGTCTCTGACCTCTGCTACAGTACCTGTCCTCACCTCTCTCTCCCTCTGCTGCAGTACCTGTGCTCACCTCTCTCTCTCCCCCCCTCTGCTGCAGTACCTATACTCACCTCTCTCCCTCCACCCCCTCTGCTGCAGTACCTGTGCTCACCTCTCTCTCTCCCCCTCTGCTACTGTACCTGTGCTCACCTCTGTCTCTGACCTCTGCTACAGTACCTGTCCTCACCTCTCTCTCCCTCTGCTGCAGTACCTGTGCTCACCTCTCTCTCTCCCCCCCTCTGCTGCAGTACCTGTACTCACCTCTCTCCCTCCACCCCCTCTGCTGCAGTACCCTGTGCCCACCTCTCTCTCTCCTGTGCGAGGAGAGAGTGGCGCTGACAAGCACCTGGGATGCCGACTGATGGGGAAGAAATTAGAGGTTTTTTTTGGATGGCAATACTCATGGGTGCTAATCCCTGCATGAATTCGGGACTATTGGTGTGGAGTTCCATTCCTCGGTGTCAGGAGGTTTCAGCGCGTGATGAACGTGACAGGTACGAGAAACTTGTCTCCGTACTTGCACTGTAATCAGCGGCAGCGCGTTAGTGGTCGAAACCAATCCTGATTACCATCCCATCGCAAAAGAGGCTCCTATAGTGGTCATGGCCACCGTGGAGACATTTCAAATTGTACTAACAGCATGATCTGACATCTCCATTGATATTCATGAAGCTTCTGAAGGGCTTCAAAGGGAAGAAACAGAGCCTACGCCATTGTATCATGCCAAAAGAGCGAAAATTTTGGCATAACATTTTGGGCAGGTGTGATGGGCCCGACAGCTTACATGTCTGACTTTAAACTATATTCAGGGGCTACGCGTGACAGACCCCTCTTCAGCGCGTCATGGATAGGATACAGAGGTATGCACGAAATTGACAAGGGGACTTAATTGGCCTAATCATGTGTTTTACTTTGACTGTTTTTTTCTCTTCCGTTTCATTGCTGGAGCATCTCATGTCAGAACCACATATATGCTTGTGGGAAATGTTGACAACAAGAAAATATTCCCACTGCTTCTGAAACAAAAGAGCAGCTAAAAAAAAGCTGCCAAAGAGAGGTGACACCATGACCTTAATCAAAGAAACAAAGTACCGTGACAGCTCTGGAATGGGTCAACAGCATGGTAATTGTTGCTCACAGTTGCCTTTGGCGGCACGGTGGCTGAGTGGATAGCACTCGCGCTCTCAGCAAGAAGGTCCTGGTGTTCGAATCTTGGCCGGCCCAGCGGCCTTTTTGAGTGGAGGTTTGCATGTTCTTCCTCGTGTCTGAGTAGGTGTTCCTCCTGTACTGCGGTTTCCCCTACCACTTAATAAAATATGTACATTTGGTCTGGCATGCGCCTGTTCTGGCGAACCACCCTCCACTTGTGTGGAGTGAGAGACAAGTGCCCAAAACATATTACATTTGTAAAACCGCTTTGTGACTCTGGTCTCGTGAATGGCGGTATATAAATAAAGCTTACTTATTACTGCTTACTTACCTTGCTCATCCAAGTGAATATGGTTACCTGGTGAACGGCAGGTGGGGCAGACAGAAATTAACTGTGGCCACACCCCAGCGCTATCAACAGGTACAACAACACCATGGAATGGTGTTGATGTTCATGATCAGCTGAGGTAAAAGTATGCAGAATCACGTGCCAGCAAAAGTATGGACGTTCATATTTGGTTTGTGGTTGACTGCTGCCGTGTAAAGCCTGGTTTCTTTACAAGTGGCTCGACCAGGCAAATGGGAAGGAAGACAGCGCTATGCCCAGTGGACTTCATCTTTGGAGCTGGGAAAAGGAAAAAAAGAGTTGATCAATGAATTCTCCACAGCAGGAAGAGAAAGAGAGCTGCCATTATGATTGCAGTGTGGTCTTCCTCCATTCATCGATTGAATTCTCCAGCAGAAAGAGAGTGCCATCATGAGTGTGGATCTCCTCCAATTCATCGATACGCATTAAACGCACGATGATTCACTCAAGTTGACCGATACCAGGAAAAACACCCCGGTTGTAAAAAGCTGCTACAAAAAGGAACGTCGCCATTGAAACTGTATATGGGTGTTCCACATGAAATCCACACATGTGCAATGACTGTTTCCGGGAGTTGATCCACCTGAGGCTGATTCCACACCAGGTTCAGATCTGTAAATCGGGCTTCTTCAGACTTTTCGTTTAAGTTATTATATTGTTGGTATTTCATTGTTATTATATTTCTTACTACTATTCCAAAAAAGACAATCACTTCCGAGTTCTTTAGGAGTTTGAAAATGTAATGTGTTTTTGAAATAAGCTAAATGTAAGAGTTTTGAATAGCTAAATGTTATGAGTTGAATAAGCTAAATGAGTAAAGAGTTTGGAATAGCTAAATGTAAAAAAACGAGTTCAGGTACACACAGGTGTTATAAACAGGTTAGAAACAGGATATACAATGGCTCACACTGTATCTGGTAATAGTAAGCTGTCTCAATACTTTGACAAATATATCTTTACATTTTTTTTATGAATACAGTGTTCAGAATATCGTATATATCAGATTGCAGAGAGTTCATTTTTATTTTCGAATGTGCAACTGACTAGGTAAATATAATGTTCTAATAAGCTGTTAATACCTGTAATTTAGTTTAATTACATTTAAGCATACATAATGGATAGTTCAAGTCTAAGGTTTACAAGAGATACCTACTAAAATATGTCTCTGTTTCAATAAATTTCAGAGAGTGAAATGATTTATAATCAACGTGGTGGACATTCGTTTCTTTTATACTGTTATGCTCTATGGGTGCCCTAGGAATGCATGTATGGTGTAGTTCTAATAGCGTCCAAGGGGGAATGAGTTAATGGCTCAAAGGGTTTTGTAGACAATATTTAATTGTATACAGACGAATTAAATGGTCTATTTTTAACTCTTGCATTCTTGGCCTTCTTTCTGTATCAATTTCTGAACACGTTCAGTCAAATCTTTTTTGACGACATGAGTGATTATTTGTTTAAATCCAGCATGTTTTAAGTTTTGTGGGTTCTGATTTACATCTTTATAAGACTATTATAGTTATCGTTAGAATGAAATATGTGGTATCCTCAGCAAATACCCAAAAAACCATTTTTTTTAATAATTCTTGATACTTTAAATATATCATTTATTATAGATTGAAAAGTAGAGGTGCCAGTATATACCCTTGAGGCATGTCCACATAAACAATGCTCATCTTTTGTTTTTAATAGTCCTCCGATCTTAACAAATTGTTGTCTTTCCTTCTTAAATAGCTTTTAATCAGTTCCCGCAACTCCCAGAGTTACCATACTTTTCTAATTTTTGAGCAATCGGATGGAGTGATTGATGTATCGGACATGCTTTCTTTTGATCTTATATGATTCCAACAGTAGGGTTTTTTGTTGTCTGAAAGCACTGGTGAATTTCTTCCACAGCGTCCAATATTAGCCATAGTGGTTGATCTTTTGGGTCTAAATCGTATTGACCTTCATCAATTAGCTATGCTTTCGTGATATCATTTTTCCAACTTGCCTGTTAAAACGTTTTCTCCAATATTTTTGAAACTGCGGAAGAAGGAGAACTGGTCTGTAAATTGTTGAATATGTGTTTACTCCCATTTTGAATAGATGGGTAACACTTTGGCTATTTTCTTTTTGTCCGGAAAAGTCCCTGTTTGATGTGATACATTACAGATGTGAGTTAAAGGTTTCAGAATATTGTCAATTATTTTTTTATTAGTCTCATATTTATGTCCAAGCTGTCCATAGAAGATTTATTTTTCCATTTATTCACAATAGATATAATTTCAGCCTCACTCACTCGTCAGGAGCGATCGATGGTTTGGACGTGTTCCTCTACAATAGTTGAAATCCGCCCTTTTGTTATTAATATTTGGTGGGATTGAGCCTGCTAAATTCAGGTCATAACATTTATAAAGAAATCATGCATTTATTGACATTATTTTCACTGATCAAAGTTTTCAGTGTCCATTATCTATTAATAATAGTCAGGATATGAGTTGATAGTGTAATTGTCTTTAAAATTTATTCTTGTATACTCCCGATCCTTTAATATTGCTTTTTTTGTTTTATTTTATAGTTTATTTTCGTAGTATTATTTCTTGCCATTTCGTACAATGGTTGTTAGTTTGTCTTGTATTACTTTTATACGTTCCTCAGTTTGTTGTGTTCTTTGGTTCATATTTTGTTTATACAAGTGTTTTTCTTTTTACATGGCATTGAGTAGTCCTTGTGTTAGCCATGGACATTTAGTATTCTTTTTCTGCTTTTTTATTTTGCGCGTAGGGCTGTGTTTGTTATATAAGGCACAAAATATTTCCAGGTATGAATTGTAGGGCTCGGTTTCGCATATTCTCAACCAAGCACATTGGTCCATCTGGTTAGCTAGATCATAGTTAGAGATTAATAGACTTCTCTGTTAGTAACCTTTTATATATTTTTTTTTTTTTTGGAGATTCACAGATATCTGTTCATAATTTCATTGAACAATGAAATATAGGAAGGATGAATCAGTCTATGACAGATATCATGAGACGCTAAACTTTGGTTTGTTCCATCGGTTGTGTAAAGATTGGGTCAATGGAAGTGTAGCACTATGCGAGGTAAATTCTACTAGGTCTGGAGATAGGATGGGAAGAGGCTCATACTATACATTGCATTTACATATTCATCAGTAGATGGTTGGTTGGATTCATCAGATCAATATTATAGTTCTCCAAAAAATAAATAATTGTCTTATTTACAGTAGAGAATGTTCTCTCCATCCCATTCCGTACAAATAAATCAATTGCTTGACCCCGGTGATCGATTAAATACAACTAATTTTAAAATTTTTTTTTCCTTTCAACAGTTTATTTCAATTGTAACACAATTCCAGTAGGTTATCAACTGATACTGACATTTTTTCATCTCATTTAAAATTGTATTGATTGCTTTACATCAGTGTCTTCCCAAAGTGGGGTCCGCGGTCCCGTGGGTGGGGCGCAGAGGGTCCTGCGGGGGGGCCGCGGGAAGGTCATAAAAAAAAATAAAAAAATGACTTAATTCTGTAATGTTACATTTATAATGTTTTGTTTGTTTTATTAATATTTGTGTCTTTATTTGAGTGAATAATCACTGTAATCATTTTTGTATCTACAATGTTTGTAGCAGGGCTATTTCACCAAAAATATTATACCAGAAAGAGCTATTCTTCATGTTGTCTTCTTTGGTTATTATTTTGGGGGGGCCACACAGACCCGTCAGATTTTTAAGGGGGGCATCGTGTTACTGAGTTTGGGAATGGTGGCTTACATAAATAGCCACCCCGCCAGACATCTATCTCCTAGACCAGTAGAATTTACCCCGCCACCCAGCTTTATTTTTTTGGTTCACATTATTTTAAGTCGTATCTTCCAATTCAAAATTTCGTACAACCATGTTTCTGAAATTGCTACTAGACTAAACGGAGGAGAAGTGAATTAATTGTGCAAATACTCTTTTGTTGACAAACCAGTTCACAGTTGACTTATTTAGATCCACTGTTTTAGCTGTAAGACTGTGGTATTGAAAGCATATCACATGAAACACTCACCTTCGAAACAAAGACAATGTGCATTGATAGTGCAGAAAATGTCGATCCATTTGCTATCTGCGATAATAACACATGCTTCTTTGGCAGACCATTTATCTGGATCTGCTGTGTTCCAGTTCTGGAAGCCTCCAGGGCTGGTGGCCCCAGTGACAGACCATCTCCAGGAGTTTGAGGCGTTGGTCATGACTTTAAACCAAGCAGCAGGGTCATCATGAAGACCAATCCAAGCCACCTGACCAGCCGGGATGTGGACTCTGCTCAGGTCCTCCTCTCTCTGTATTGTGGCCAGGTCAGTGAAGTGCTCTCTGCAGTACTGCTGAGCCTCACTCCAGCTTTTGGACTGCTCGATGAAATGGTACTCGTCAATCAGTTCATGAGCAAATGTTAAGAAGATTGTTCCATGACCTAGAGATGAAGATAGATAGATACTTTATTGATCCGCGTGGGAGAAATTCAGGTTTCCAGCAGCAGAACACTCATCCAAGTCTTTTGTACAGTCTGACAGTCGAAAGGAACAAAGGATTTATTGAAACGTTCATGTTGAAGACATGTCATTGAACTTAGAAAGCAGATTGTAAATTCGAATTATTTTTGACTAGCCCTAAATCACAACAGCAGTCGTTTCCGAGGACTTTACAAAATATTTTATTCCTCACCAAGAGACAGTTTAAACACAGGAAATTTAATAGTAACAAACACATAGGAGCCATTGGTCGATAGGGGGCAGGATGACCAATGTCCATCAATGTCCGTAGATGTCCTGAATCATCTCTGTCCTTCGACCGCCCTACATTAACAAAGAACAACAGTGGGAAAAAGGTGCTAAACCTCAGGGAGGACAGGTTATAAATACAGGACTCAAGCTATTTTACGTGGATTGAGGTCAGCCAATGCTAGACTGAAGCCTCTTGCACAAGTCCGAGCCGTATAAACCAGATCTGAGGGTCAGGTTCAGGGTCGTCATGCCATTTAACAGAAAATGGATCAGGGAGTGAAAAGCAATAAACAGACTACAGCTCAGGTCATAATGATGACATAAAGTAGCAAAGAAGACAGTGCTTAAGTTGCCATTCTTTTCCCAGCCAAGTGTCTCCATACAGCTTGACAGATAATCTGTGTTGTACCTAACTATGCTGAATGAAAGAAGAACGTCTTAAGCCGATCCTTGAACGTAGACGCTGTGTCAGCCTCCTTGACGTGGATGGGGAGCTGACCTCACAGTATCGAGCTTGGTAGCTCAACGCTCACACATGATCAGCCTCGCAGCGCCGTGGGTCCAGACGTGTGCAAGTAAGTAAGTAAGCAAGTAAGTAAGTAAGTGAGTGGACACTGTAGAACCTGTTCTGGAGCTGGACTTTGGACGGACGTCTTCTCTTGCCTTTTGTCGTGTTTTCATCCAAACCAGAGGTCATCAACCTTTTTAAGGATCTTAAGATTACCAAATTATGAACTTTTCCCCTTGAAAGGTTTGGTAGCCCAGCTTTAAACGCCTCCTTGGTTCAGTCTTGCAGCTCAATCCTAACTCAGAACTGCAAAAGGTTTCTAGCTGAAACAAACAGCTTGAGCTGCATAAAGCTTTCTTATTAAACATGTAGGAAGTACAACATAAGCTTGAAACGAAGCATTAAATGCACATTCTTTGTTCAGCAAAAATATTGTATGTCATAGTTTGGGCCGTTTAGAATCTCCTTTGAAGAGGAAGAGATCTTTCTGCTCCCAAAGAGCTCAACCTCCCGTCCCCTCTGTCGGGGCGTGAAGCAGGTGTGAAAGAACGAAAGCATTTCCACATCGTGTGATCGTAAAATACACTGTAAAAAAACATCTAACTGACTGAAAACATAAACAAAAGAGTGGCCATTATTTGACGATTCAATCATTTCTACTTTGTTCAGTATTTCTGTAAAAAGCAGTAACAGAAGCAGAGTCTGTAATAGACAATCCAAATGGAGGGGATCGGTTTCATTTGAGCTTTTTGCTTCTTCCAATCTCTTTTCAATCCAAATGAAGGCACATTTAGGCCTTTAGAATTGTTTTGTTAGAATGTTTTTAATTGCAATATTACAATGACATTAAAGTGATCAATCATTAAATATTTGAAGTGTTTGACAGCACTAGTAATAATATTTTTTTCTTACCGTAAAATATACAGACCAACAGAGCTTTGTAGTCCATGTCTGATGACCTCACCCTGCAGAGACCGAAAACCACAGACTCTGATGACCTCACCCTGCAGAGACAGAAAACCACAGACTCTGATGACCGCACCCTGCAGAGACAGAAAACCACAGACTCTGATGACCTCACCCTGCAGAGACCGAAAACCACAGACTCTGATGACCTCACCCTGCAGAGACCGAAAACCACAGACTCTGATGACCTCACCCTGCAGAGACCGAAAACCACAGACTCTGATGACCTCACCCTGCAGAGACAGAAAACCACAGACTCTGATGACCGCACCCTGCAGAGACCGAAAACCACAGACTCTGATGACCTCACCCTGCAGAGACAGAAAACCACAGACTCTGATGACCTCACCCTGCAGAGACCGAAAACCACAGACTCTGATGACCGCACCCTGCAGAGACCGAAAACCACAGACTCTGATGACCTCACCCTGCAGAGACAGAAAACCACAGACTCTGATGACCTCACCCTGCAGAGACCGAAAACCACAGACTCTGATGACCGCACCCTGCAGAGACCGAAAACCACAGACTCTGATGACCTCACCCTGCAGAAACCGAAAACCGCAGCGTGAGCTCTGTGTGGTAACAGAGGTAGACGTGTGGCTAAGATTTATAATGTAATGTTTGCACTGTATTTTGATGGGATTTTACACCTTGCCCAAGGACTGGAGTTGGAAACAAGCTTTAGAGAGCACCAAAACATAGATTTGTTTAAGCCCATACCAGTGAGTGTGACACGAGCGGTTACTGAACTCGTTGGACCAAAACTTCATCCATAAGCACTTCTCTATGGGGCTTCATTGAGCTACGGTTAGCATTGTCCAGCTCTTTGCAGCCTATGTGTGGAAGACTGGGTTCACCTCAGAAGCAAATGCACCAGTCCTCATCAAGTGAACCCACTCAAACCGATCTTTGCCTTTTCAAAAGTATTAAATAATGAGAAACAATAAAACTAGGAGACATTTTTAGAATGAGATGTTAAGTTAATGATTTATTCTAACATTTCCGTGATAAAAAAACAAAAACGTCCCTAAAAGGTTTTGACCAATTTTAACCATGATTCAGTGAAATAAGCGGTCTATGGCCTTTCACAAACACATTTCAGACTTTAGATTAGATTACAGATTACATTCATGGTGCGCTAAAAAATTTGGCGACAGTAGCTCAGTTGGTGGAGCGTTGGCCTTTGAGCCAGAAGGTTGTGGGTTCGAGCCCACTACGGGACCTACTCCACCTACTGATGTCTGCTGTCGTTGTGTCCTTGGGCAAGACACTTCCCCCACATTAGAATGAGTCTGGTGTGTGTGTGAGTGGTTGGTGGTGGTGGGAGGGGCCGATGGCACAGACTGGTTTCCTCGCTTCTGTCAGTGTGCCCCAGGGCAGCTGTGGCTACAGTAGTAGTTGTAAAGCGTCTGCGTGTCTAAAAAAGCGCTGAATAAAACCAATGCATTATTGTCATTACCGCCATAAACATTTTTAACGATGGGAAAAGTGACATTATCAATTCTCTTGATTACTCCTCTTTGGACAAACCATTCTTGAACCACAAAATCAGAATCAGAATCATTTTTTCAGAATCAGAATCATTTTTATTGCCAACGTAAGTAACGGGAGGTCACAGACTTGGAAATTGCTTTGGCTCAGTGCAACAGTCAAAAAGAGATAATAAAAATAAGAATAAAAAACACTTCTAAAGAATAAATTTAAATTTAAAATAGAGTTACAGTTACTATTTACAATATACAAGTGCACATGGTGCACACAATGTAAGGTGACAGCAGTACAGTGAAGTAAAGTGACGTATGATGGGCAGTAAAGTGACTTTATAAAGGGCGGGGGGACAGGTTAAGAAGTGTTCAAGAGTCCAACAGCAGAGGGGAAGAAACTGTTCTTGTGGCGGGAGGTTCTAGTCCTGATGGACCGCAGCCTCCTGCCTGAGGGGAGTGGTTGGAATAGTCCATGTGCAGGGTGAGAGGGGTCGGCTGTGATACGACCAGCCCGGCCTCGAGCTCGGGCGACGTACAGGTCCTGCAGCGATGGAAGGCTGCGGCCGATCACTTCCTCTGCAGAGCGCACAATGCGCTGTAGTCTCTGTTTGTCCCTGACTGTGGCTCCAGCGAACCACACGGTGATGGAGGAGGTGAGGATGGACTCGATGATGGCCGTGTAGAACTGCACCAACATCTGTGCAGGCAGCTTGGCTTTCCTGAGCTGCCGCAGGAAGTACATCCTCTGCTGGGCCTTCTTGATGAGGGAGCTGATGGTCGGCTCCCACTTGAGGTCCTGGGTGATGGTGGTGCCCAGGAAACGGAAGGACTCCACAGAGGTGATGGGGGAGTCCATCACGGAGGGTGGGGGCGGGGGGACAGTGCTCTTCCTGAAGTCCACAATCATCTCCACTGTCTTCTGGGCGTTCAGCTCCAGGTTGTTACCACTGCACCAGGACACCAGCCGGTCCACCTCCCTCCTGTAGGCGGACTCATCGTTGTTGGAGATGAGTCCAATGAGGGTGGTGTCGTCCGCGAACTTGATCAGCTTCACGGAGTCGTGGCTGGAGGTGCAGTGGTTGGTGTACAGGGAGAAGAGCAGGGGAGAAAGAACACAGCCCTGTGGGGCTCCTGTATTTATAATCCGAGAGTCCGAGACATTCTTCCCCAGACGCACTCGCTGCTTCCTGGTCCGTCAGGAAGTCAGTGATCCACCTGCAGGTGGAATCGGGCACGTTGAGCTGGGAGAGCTTGTCCTGGAGCAGGGATGGCAGGATTGTGTTGAAGGCAGAGCTGAAGTCCACGAACAGGACCCTGGCGTAGGTCCCCGGGGAGTCCAGGTGCTGTAGGATGTGGTGGAGGGCCAGGTTAATGGCGTCGTCTACAGATCTGTTGGCTCTGTAGGCGAACTGCAGGGGGTCCAGGAGGGGGGAGGTGAGGGACTTGAGATGGGAGAGAACCAGGCGTTCAAATGACTTCATGACGACAGACGTAAGTGCTACAGGTCTGTAGTCATTGAGTCCTGTGATCCTGGGCTTCTTCGGGACGGGGACAATGATGGAGGATTTGAAGCAGGCCGGGACATGGCAGGACTGCAGAGAGGAGTTGAAAATGGCCGTGAACACAGGAGTAAGCTCACTGGCGCAGTGTCTCAGAGTGGCCGGAGACACGTGGTCCGGGCCAGGAGCTTTGCGGGGGTGCAGCCTCAGGAAGAGTTGTTTAATCTCTTTAGCGGCTATTGTTAGGCTGGGGGCAGGGCTGATGGGTGGGTCGTTAGAGTAGTGGGGGGTGGGGGAGGGAGAGGTGTCAGGGGCAGCATCAAAGCGACTGAAAAATAAGTTCAGATCGTCAGCTAGCTTGTGGTCATCAGCACAGGGGGGGGCTTTGGGTTTGTAGTTGGTGATCTCCCGTAGGCCCCTCCAGACAGAAGCAGTATCGTTGTTACCAAACTGCTCCTGTAGTCGTTCTCTGTGCCGGGACTTGGCTGCTTTCAGTTCTTTCCTGAACTGATATTTAGCTGCTTTGTAGCCGCTGCGGTCCCCCTCCCTGAAAGCAGACTCCTTTGCTTTCCTGAGCTGCCGGAGTTTAGCAGTGAACCAGGGTTTGTCGTTGTTATAGATGACCCTGGTCCTTGTTGGAATGATGCTATCCTCACAGAAGTGGATGTATGACGTCACAGTGTCCGTATATTCATCCAAGCTGTCTGTGGCAGCTCTGAAAAGGTCCCAGTCTGTAGATTCCATGCATGCGCGCAGCTCTTCCACAGCTTCATCAGACCACACTTTGGAGCTCCTCACTGCAGGTTTCGAGAGCTTTAGTCTCTGTCTGTAAGCAGGGACCAGATGTATCATGGAGTGATCTGAGAAGCCGAGGGCTGGCTTGGGAACAGCGCGAAAAGCTCCGCGCACGGTGGTGTAACAGTGATCCAGAGTGTTCTCCTCTCTGGTCGGGCATTTGATAAACTGTCTGTATTTGGGTAATTCCTGGCTCAAGTTTCCCTTATTAAAATCCCCCAGGATAATAATCAGAGAGTCCGGGTATAAGCGTTCCATACACAGTACTTGCTCTGCGAGTGCGCGCTGAGCCTCGCGCGCGTCCGCGCATGGCGGTATGTAAACAGAGGCAAGAATGAATGAAACAATTTCCCGCGGGGAGTAATATGGTTTACAATGAATGAAAAGATATTCCAGAGCAGGAGAGCAGTGCTTGGAGATCACTGTCACATCGTTACACCAGTTTGTATTGACGTAGAAACAGAGCCCTCCGCCTCTGCTCTTCCCTGAGAGCGCACAATGGCGATCCGCGCGAAACAGCCCAAAGCCCTGCAGCTCCAGAGCGCAGTCCGGGATCCGCTCATTTAGCCAGGTCTCAGTGAAGCAGAGGACACAGGATGTGGCGAAGTCCTTGTTTCTTCTCATGAGCAGGCTGAGTTCGTCCATCTTATTGCCCAGTGAGCGTACGTTGGAGAGAAAAATGCCGGGGAGAGCCGTGCGCGCTCCTCTCCTCCTAAGACGCACGAGCAGGCCTCCTCGCTTTCCCCTTTTACGGGCCCACACTTTTTTGGCTAGAACATGAACTAAATCAGCCGCAGATGCCAAGAAAACAGGCAATAGGTCCATGGGAACGGTGGGTCGGATGTTCATAAGTTCCTCACGGGTGTAGGAACAGCCAGATGCACAGTTAAAAAGTAAAAACAAAAGAAAAAGAGAGCAGCAAAGAGCCATGTCGACCGTACGAGGCGCCATCTTTTAAAATGTTTAAATTTATATGGAATAATAGACCAGACAAAATTAAAAGACACTATTTGTGCAACTCACCTGAAAATGTTGGATTCATGTTAAAAGATATAGAAATCATGAACGTATCTCTGAAAGCCTCCTGGATTTATAAAAACTCTAATCCCAACGCTGACCAAAGCCTACTGCATTTTATATAGACCACATTTCAGAGTAACTTATTATTAAATTGAAGCCATGCAACTAAGATGAGACACACTGTTTGGTGACTGTGTGTCTGAAATATACAATAATAAAGAGTGTTTCTTACCTCACGGCTGTCGCTCTCAGTGTCTGGTGTCGAGAGATCAGTGTAAAGCATCTTCTTGATTCACAGCCTTTCATTTACATATTCAGTCTGTATTCGTGCTGCATATTTGTTTGACACGTCTTTGCATTTGCAAGGCTTAAAGTCAGGATGTTGGTCTTTGGCACGTTCCTTCCGCTGCTCAGAGCAGGGCAGAGATCTCAGCCTGTAACTGTCAAACAGCCATGTCATAATAAAATAAACATAACATAACTCTAACAGAGGCAGGTCTGGCTCCCATAGAGTTTGCAGATGTCAAATTTCCAGGGGGCAATTTCAGAACATTTTAGTATTTTTTTTGCCAAAGCGGTCGCACGCCGCGTTAAAAGCCAGAGAGTAGAAATGTGTTTTTAGACGAGATTTAAAACATTCCAGGGCAGAGGGGGGGTCCAGTCACAGAGAAGGCCCTGTCCTCAGGTTTTAAGTCTGGTCTAAGGCACCGCGAGCTGGAGCTGGGCCTCGGACCTCAGGTCGGGCGGATGGTACATTTGGATGAGGTCTGA